CAAACACTTACTGGTAGTCCATTCCTGGGATAAAAGTGAATTAAAAGTGGGTGCAGGGAAGAGGGACAGCGAGCTGGAGAAAGGCCATGTGAAAAGGGCCCATGCTTCCTGACCCTAAATGGGGAATGAATAGCACTGGGGCAGGGAGGGAGTCATAGGGAGCTCTAGGAACAAACTCCAAGCAGACCCAGGAGCCCTGAAAACAGACGTGTTTTACAAGGAGGAAACTAAGGCTCGGCACGATGCCTAGCCCTGACATGAAAAGGCAGGTGGTGCATATCGATAATCCTAGCTACCTGGAAGGCTGAGGCAGGAGGATCACCAAGTTCAAGGCTAGCAGGACAACTAAGTGAGAACTTGCCTCGAAATAAAACTTAGGTTGGGGGTGTAGCTCAGTGGTAGAGCACCTCCCTGCCATGCAAGACATGCAAGGGGTGCTAGGTTCAACCCGCAGTGCTATAAATGAAAAGAAAAAAAAAGGTGAAACCAGAGAAGTCCAGAGCAGCAGCAATATGCACCGTGGACAGGAAATCAAGGGAGCGCTCAAGGGCCAAGTTCCCTAACTACTAAAGCAGGGGTGACGTTTAGCTAGGTGTGGTGGCACACACCTGTAATCTCTTCACTTGGGAGGCTGAGGTAGGAAGATCACTTGTGAATTCAAATAACATAGCGAGACCTTGTCTCAAAAAAAAAAAAAAATTAAGCAGGGAAGTCTCGGTATAGACCCCTAAACCTGGGTGGGGGTCAACTACAGAAATCCAGATTTGTAAGGCTGAAGCAGGGGCGAAAGAACCTCCTTTGTTATCTCCCAACAGGGTCCTCTGAAAGCAAGGCTGAGGACCAGGCAGGAAATCACAAGCCCTGCGGGCACATTCCCTGACTAAACCAGACTAGGAGGTAGGAGAGGGAGGACCCTCAGCCCTTCTTACCCCCTAGCAACTCTCGTTAGCTTAAGGACAAAAAGCCAGTTTTTGTTTTTTGAGACAGGCTGGGCTCAAGCCATCCTCCTGTCTCAGGGACCCCTGCGCCCTCACCATTAACCTGGGCTGAGAACAAAGACTCTTAACTGTTTTAATTGGCTTCTAGATGTTCGAAGCATTATCACTAACGCTACATACTAGTTTTTAGAAGAAATAAACTGGCTTCATTTTACAGAAAGGTACACTGAGGCTGAAGGGCTCCAAGTAACTTGTCCGAGGCACACAGCACCTCAAGACAGAGCCCAGGATGCAGGCACACCTGGGGCCAAGGAAGGGGGACATGGGGAGCTCATCCTGCTGGAAGCCTACATGACAATGTCCTAATTTATCTTGGTTTTTAAATTATTATTATTCAACTTTCCATATATTGAGGCAGCATCTAAACGACCAGTAAGATTTCACTACTGCGCTTGGCATCATCTAGAGTTACAATCTGAGTTCTTACCTAACTATAGTCATGTGCTATAGCGCCCTGTTTTTAGCTGTGTTTGGACTCCACACATGCAGAAGTTAACAGCAGTAATCGGTCTTCTCTATTTCTAAGTATTTTGGCCTGTTTTTTTTTTTTTTTGAGATGAGTCTTGCTATGCTGTCCAGGATGACTTTACCCCTGCACTCAAGAACCTCCTGCCTCAGCCTTCCAAGCAGTTGGGACTACAGGTACGCACCACTACTCCCAGCCCGCATGGATTTTCACAAGTGGAAACAGTAGAGCCACGCCTGTCTCAACTTGTGCCAACTCCTAACCGTTGGCCCCCAATAAAACAAGAGAAAAAAGAAGTAGGCTGAGGAACTGTCAGTTCTTTTGAAAACTCCTTTAATTGCAGCTTATTTTTAAATGATGCTCCTAGCACATATTAGAGGCAAAAAACTAAGGCTGCTTCTCCCTACCCTGAGAAAAAACAGAGCCTCCCTAAGAGCAAACAGCCTGGGCTGGAGAAGAATGGCCTCTTTCACATTCTTTAGCCACCTCCTCTCTTCCTTCTGGCTCTCTGGTCACAGGCAAAAAGGATGAGGACTCAGTCCTGCCAGCCACCCCAAAGTCAAACACCAGAGCCACGTGTCCAGCCAACAGCACTGTTTGTACTGCGTGCAGAGCACCTGGTGAAACAATTCCATGAGGCAGCATGAAGGTCCTAGTACTACCTGGAGGCATCTCGGAGGTCTGAAACTAAGGGGCACTATAGGTAGTCTCTCTCTCCCTCTTTTTTTTTTGTCTTTTTGAGACAGGGTCTGGCTACGCAGTTCAGGCTGGTCTCGAACTTGCAACCATCTTCCTGCCTCAGCCTCCCATGTGCTGGGATTACAAGCGTGTGCCACCACGCCCGGCAGGTAGTCTGTTTAAGACATTTACTCTGTATTCCACCCTTGCCTCACACTCACAGCAATCCTGCCTAAGACTCCTGAGTGCTGGGATTACAGGTGTCACCACCAGACCTGGCTCTTCTCTCCTTTCATAAACTATGTAGACAACGGCCCAGAGAAGATACCGGACCTACCTCGGCTCACTCCACTGCCTACAAATCCTACTCCACCCCATCTCTTGCCAAATCAAAGCCCTTATATGCTAATCCAACTTCAATCACTACAGTTCTAAAGAGAAGGAGGGAAAGCAAAGCTGTGCAATGCCAAGGCAAGCGGGGGGGGGGGGGGCGTGGAGGGAAAGGATCAACAAAATACGGCTGTCTCAAAAGGGACACTGTTTAAGCGGTGAAAGGAAGATTTAAGTGAGGCTATGCTGGGGCTGTATCTCCAGCTCCTACAGTCAGACTTCTGAGACGTTTAAGTGAGAAGAGAATGAGAAGGGACACGCTAGAGAGAATGTAGGTGGACGGAAAGAACTCGAATAACTTGCGGGGTAGGACATGTGGGTGTGCAGCATGTGCCTTGGAAATCAGCGATGCTTCCTGCCCAATGACCAAGAAATGTGCCCACCTCGTCCCTGAGCTCACCCCTGCCTGAAGCGCTTCGTGGTTGTCCAGGTTCCTCAAAGCCTCCACAAAATGCAGAGCCTGGAGCAGGAGCCTCCATCTTTTCCATCCTCTTTCCCTCCCCCAGCCTTCCAGCTAACAGTTTGCTAGGAGCACCAACTCCCCTCCTGAATGCCCAGAACTTCCCGACCTCTTGTCTTTGCTCACAGCTCCGCTTCCACTTGGATTGTTCTCACATTTTCTGGGCCTGTGAAAGATCCCACCGTACTTAATGAGCTGGGGGAGGGAGGAGAGGCGGGGGTTGAGAGAACAATATGGTAGTCAGCTCCCCAGACAGACAGTACCCACTCTGTCCTCACCCTCCTCATGCTCATTGAAGCCAATGTGGAAGCTGCTGTCTAATAAGAGGTCGGGATAATTCCTGCAAGCCCTTTCAGGTCTGGAACCGGAGAAATCAGGTCCTGTGCTGTGCTCTGGTAAACTGGGAACACTTTGATCCCAAGTTTGTCTTAAACCAGGGAGAGAGCCGGCATGGTGGCGCATGCCTGTAATCCCAGCACTTGGAAGGCTGAAGCAGGAGGATCGGGAGAGCTCAAGACCAGCCTGAGCAAAGTAAGCTCAAGGCCAGCCTGAACTGCCCTCTGCATTTTGTGGAGCCTTTGGAGGAACCTGGACAACCAAGAAGCGCTTCAGGCAGGGGTGAGCTCAGCGACAAGGTGGGTACATTTCTTGGTCATAACCAGACCCTGCCTCAAAAAGACAAAATAAATAAATAAATAAAAGCTGGGAGATTATTGCCTCAAGAAGGACCAGCTACAGACTGCCAGATACCGGCAAAGAACAGAGGCTTTTCTGAGCCAAGCTTTAAACTTAGCCCTGCAAGGAATCGGCAAGAAACGCTGCACTCCGACTCAGCAGAACTGGGTGTCCTGATGAGGCCTCCTTCGGCCATGAGCTCATCAAACGCCCAAAGTCCTCTTGGAAAAGGGGGCCAAGTGTCCTTGTTCCCTGAGACTCTGTTTAGTGTACTCAAGGAGGGAGAGATCTCTTAAGAGCTCGCACTGCCTGCGAGACACTGACCTGGCATCTCCGAGAGCAAGCTCAGGGAACCTACCCGGCTATAGGAAGGAGGGAATCACTCCCAACTGTGCCAATCACTCCCACTTACATATGCCAAGATGTCAGCTGGCCACCAAGACAAAGGAAGTCCCAGGGCCACCTTATTAAGGTCCCAAAGGCACAACCCTCTAAATCTCCACAACTAATGACTGTCCTCACGCAGAAGAGGGACCAGCCCGTCAAGCTTCCAGAGGGGCCTAAAAGAAGGAATTCTGCACAACCCTCCTCCACATCCCACTTCTGTCTGGGAATCAGGACTGGCAAAGACCCAAGAGACCTCAGACGGAGGAAAGCTTCAGGAAAAACTCTCCTCGGTGTCCTTTTCCTCCTACCTAACTCGACTTCCCTCTCACCACCCCAGCCAAGAACACCACCCGCTCCGATCTTCTTCTTCCAAGCACTTATTCACCGTCAAAACTCTCTCCGGCTCGCCTGCTGTTCTTCCTCCAACGGATCCTGGCTCCAGAAAGGTAAGACACACAACGAACGTGCAGTTCCCAGCGGAACGGGTCGCTCAATAACTGGACACAGTTCAACAAGTGAACCGAATCTGAAGGTCCTGCTCTACGCCGGGTGCCGGGCGCTGGCTGGGGAGGGACGGCAGGAGGACACGCGCTGGTCCTGCCGGTCAGGGAGTGGGGCAGGGTCCGGCGCGGGGAGCCCAG